AAAATATGCCTATTTAAAATCTTCTAAGTATATACTTACTTGGAACTACGTATCAGTAAATCTAAAGAGTAGAATAAATCCTGAGTATGTTTCATTTCTAACAGAACTCCTAACACGTTTATATAATAATTTAAAACTTGATTGTTATTAAAGCATGAAAAATATGACAAGCAGGATTGCAAATAGTAATTAGAATGCTATAGGAAAATATTGCCAGATTTTTTCCCACTAAAATTAATATGAACGCACGTGGAATTAAAATAAAAGGAGACACGTTCTAAGAAAAAATGGCATCAAATGTCCTGAGAGGTGAGTTTTGTAGTTGGAACGAATACCCTTAAAGGAAAAGTGTACGAACCACTACAAATCTTAGTAAAGACCCAAATTTTAAAAAAAAATAATCATAAATCTAAGTACTATATAACTAGCAAATGTTACGGTTCAGTGTCCAACCGCAGAGAACACAATGTTTAAACCGCTCAAAAACTTTTCAGGAATCTTATCATCTTACCACTTTATTCATCAAAATTAACTCTATATTAACGAAATAAAATATTTTTCAATTTAAAAGCAATTTACTTCACACTAAGATGTGCGATATCTAGCGAATAAATTACAGTAAACCTGGACTACTACTTAAAAGCATAAAAATATTAAAGTATGTAAGACTTCCGTTTTTGGGGAATTAGCAGGGTTCAGTACTAAAGGTTGTCCAACATTTCTGCAACACTGCGTTTGTCATTGTCAGGGTGAGTATGTTCGTTAGGCGTCTTTGGTACCCTGACATTGAAATCCAGCTGTGCTAAAGACAAGAATAAGAATATGGATTGCAATAATATAGGATAAATAATGAAATTACTTGTAATATATCCACGAGCCAATCACGTCTAATTTCTTCAATGTAATAATAATTTCAGTCATGTAAGTCTAAAACACATGAATTTACTGGAGTCAAATACGTAAAAGAAGGAAGATGTTTAGTAAAATGGACAATATATATAATAAATACCGTGTTTTAAAATCTATAATGCAAACTTAATTCATAACCAAAAATCCAGTATCCGAAATCAGTTCAATAAAACTGCATTTTGAGAGAGCTGTATAATACAAATGACGCCACTGCATCTTACTGGTGTTTTTTTTTTCGTGTCTAAGTTTCATGCATGTTTTTATCCTGAATTCGCCACATTATAATCTCCAGCCTTATTTGAATTTGGTGATACGACGACTTTTAAGAGAATGGTTTACGTACAGTCATATTACTCTTACTTATCTTGTCTCAGTTAAAAATATATGATCATCTGAAAACGCGAATATAAAAATAAAATGAGAATAAACTTTAAATCTTCTTTTTGGCCCTTCCTTCTGCTGACCGAGCAAAAATTCTATCTGCACGAAGTAAATGAGATTATAATACTTATATGGTTACAAAGTTGTTGTAAGCTACTTTCTTTTTCAGATTACAGAATGATTTGTGCCCTATTTATTTATCTTTAAGTTTGAATTTCTGTTTCTACCTTTCTTCTATTTGAAATGAAACCGCGAAAAGGTCACACATTGCCTCTCAGCCTGAGATACTTTCTAAACTTTCTTTTACACCCAGAAATGTTTACTGCCCTTGTATTCAATCCCACAGAATGCGACGATTGAATATAATTTGCCTATCTGAATGAAATATGCCATTTAAGCAATGTCTAACTTAGGCATGCACTAGAGCTAAAGGTAACTCAGATTTAAAAAAAATCGCCTCTTCCTTAATTCGTAATGTTTATTAGAATGTTTACAAGAATCTGACACCTTTTCCTATCATTAGATAGCTTAATTCTAATCTATATATCAGAAAGTTATATCTATTACAACCTCTCATCTATGTCGAAGTTTCAAAGTGGTTTTCCTAATTCAAGCTTTCGGACTAAAATTTTGTACGTATTTTTCTTCTCACCCATGCATGCTACATGTCCCCTTATCTCACCTTGTTGGATTTGATAATTCTAATAATATTCAGTCAAGGGATGAAATAAGTGGTGAGTTTGGGCAGTGTCATTTTAAAAATTGTGTTACTGTAGTTCGTGACACCTCGCACCACAAGGCTAATCGTGGTGGCGCATCAAGTATCTCGTGCAATTTGCAATTGGGAAAGGAATCGCTTGTGGACTCATGTTCATATGAACATTATGTACTGTTCTGCTGTGTAGAGCTTACCCTCGATGTTTATATAGACCTTTCAGATACACCCTGTATAGGCACCATAAAGAAGTCCCTCATCGTTTTCTACTTTGCGGAACGCGGCTTTGCTTATTTGAGGAAAAATAATTGTGATAAATTTTGCGCATCGCGGCGTAGGTCCCTCGATCTTTCACGGTCGCTTTTGCGCAGACGCACGGAGTAATAAATACACAATAGCCCGCATTTGCACACCTGTCTCAGTAGTGATGTAGATTCAGTGCCAAACCGAATGTAATTCAACTGTATTTTTCGCAGTTTTTATAATTCATTTTTATAACTGCTTTCCATCATCCTGACAAAATTCAGCCACAAACACCGGCGTCATCTCAGTAAACACCAACACTAAAAAAATAATTTTCTCAGGCTAAAAGCCATTTCGGTTGTTGACAAAAACCCAAAGTTCTGGAGACCATCTTCACCTCCACCATCAGGAAGAGAAAAGATTTTATTGAATTTAGTCGACGTTTAATTTTCAAGTCTTAATATAAAAAATAGTATTTCGTGTTCTTAATAATGAATTATGCACAGTAAACGTCACGTTTCATGTATCTTTGTTTCCTCTAAACCCATTCTACCTGTGATGTCGCCGTTTTATTATTTATACCTATTAAAAGGCGTTGTGCAGAAGTAGTTGGTTAAACCGATTCTACTCAGTGGGATCATAGTATTGCTTTTTAAAGTCTTGCATTGTCCTCTGAAAGTCATTGCGTCTATAAGTGGTTCGCCAAAAGAAATAAAACTAATTTCTCTAACTTAGTGTTAATAGGCTTTCAATGGGAAGGCAGTACGTAGGTAAGAAAATATCCCTTCAGAGAACTGCACCCTATGTTGGCACGTGTCTTCACAATAACTACAACTGACGATTTTAAAATTTCCTGTTTAGGATGCATTGGGATACACAAAAAAGAAGGTATATTTTACTAAACAAGCAAAAAAATTGCCACGTGTCTTTATAACTCGACTGAGTCTGTATTTGTGTATGGAAGAAATCTTCATGGTCTTTGGCAACAAGATGACAGTTATGGTTACTTACATGGGGTTACCTCTGAATGGGACTTCATTCCTAAGCGGGACAATCGGCAATCCTTCAAAACCAGCAACCACTTACGTGCGAAAGGCCTAACCCCAAAGTGATATTGTGTAACTCTATATTCCTACAAAGCTATTACTTTGTATTTACGTTGCAAGCCTGACAACAACCAGCTAAACACACGGCTCGTGTGTCGGGACTGGATGTTACCCCTTCGAGTCAGCATTCCTAAATGGGACCCTTGACACACCTTTGTATAAGATTATTTAGGGTCTTGAAACCGAGGAAAAAACTTGTGAACACAAAGAAACTTCTCGTGTGCCGAACAAGAATATCGGCTCTTCTCTAAA